CCATCCAGAATTCAAGCGTCCCTTTTACGACCCGTGGCGAGATGATGACATGAATGCAGGAGGTGGCCAGAATGGTTAAGTGTGCAAAGAAGCATTGCTGTCATGAGGCCAGTGGCCGGGCCTGCTCGGGCCGTGCAGGCGCCCAAACCCGATTGGAGTGTTAACAGGAGGAAATGGTGCCAGAGTACATATGGAATGACCGGACCTGCAACATCTTACCGAAGCCTTAACAGCCATAGACTAGGGAGCACGCTATACCAGGCATCATCTTTGTTGATTCATTCTGCTGTGGGCTGCTGCGGAGTCGAATTGTGAGTGGATATGTTACGGTTGCGCACAGGAAGGAGCCGCTTGTGCTTCAATGATGCTGCCCTTAGCAGGTTTGGCGGAATCAGCGGCTTATGCAGCATACATTGCAGTCCATCAATTACCTACTCGCCAAAGTGCCATCTACAGGACAAGCTGCTGTGGCTTCTCGCAGCAACTTTGCACTTTTCTATAACAGTGGCCGGAAGCTTCTCCGGTATCTTTGTTTCCAACGCATTCATTTCGGTTTTAAAAGTAACGATACTTAACGAACTCAGCAAGTCTGCTTGTTTGTGGTGGCAGACAACTGCCTAGTTGAAGTGGTCCGTGAGGTGTAGATATGGATCGTCCACGCGCAAGTAGATCTCTTTGCCGAGCAGTTTTGCAAGGTTCTTCTGCCCGGTTGAGAGAACTGAATGTTTGAAGTATGTTTTAGATGTTGAGTCAACAAGAAGCTTTCAGGCTTGTCAGGCAGCAACTGCTCTCTCTCCCTGGCTGCCAGACGAAACCTCCTAAGGCAGCTTTAGGGGTATCTGAGGCTTACCTGCCCAGCCAGAGACAAGCCTTTGGCTCATATGCTGTAGCGCGACTGACTAACCCACTACTATACTTCGAGAAGCATGCCACATAAGAAATTTCCACGGGGGAGAAATCCTATGCAGGTTACCCTTGTATATCCTCAAGATGAATGCAGCTGGTGTCTTGGTCTTGTAGGCCATGTCTATCCATTAGCCTGCAAGCTTAGTTGCGCAAAAACTGCCATCGGAGTGCCTGTTTAGGTGTAGCAGATATAAATTCGTATGGGCTTCTGCACGTGCCTTCAGTTTTCCACGTGACCGTCCTTCCACCGTGAGAATTAAACTGGTTAAGATTACAAATGCTCTAAATGCACAAATTCCTGCCCGACCTTCACACAGGATACACAGTTAAAACTTCTACATCTTCTGCGTTTTGTTCTAAACACAACGCATGCTAGCCTTTACGAGTTCAAAATGCACTATTTCCATCCAGATGCTCAACATAAATACAATTAGGAGTTCTGCACTTATTAGTGACGTCGTGAAGTGAATCTTATGCTGTCGTGTAGCTCGTCTGGACGTCCGCACTCCCTGCAGTGCAGTGTTGCATACGCATATCGGTGCAAGAAAACCAAAAGCGTACAATTACTCTGTTCGGTAACGCTAACCCGAAGCTAAGTACTCGTCGGCCCCAAAGCGAGCGTAGGGGCGCAACGCGTAGATGAAATGAGCCTGTTCTGCACAGCTTCTATGCGCAATCCCTGGTTATATGCACAGCACTTGCAGTGGGAACTTCCAAGCTTTCCTTCGCAGGTTTTCTGCTACAAGGTGCAGCAATCGTTGGCTGGCTGGCAGCCGAACGCATTCCGAGCTTTGAAGCAATGACGGAAAAATGTACTTTCATGATCAGCTATTAACAATGGGAATTCTAGCATTCAGCGTCAGAGGCAAATGTCCTGCTTTTCACTATTTTAGACTTCCCGTGTGTGTGTATAGTACTGCGTAGAGGAGAAATATCGATTTCATACAGGCGAATGTTACGAGCGCTGTTCGACCCAGCAGTACGATCCTGAGGCAACAAGTTGTCGTTCACACCCCACGAATTG